GAGAGAGAGAGAGAGAGAGAGAGAGAGAGAGAGAGAGAGAGAGAGAGAGAGAGAGAGAGAGAGAGTCAACCATGAGTTTCATTGGAAGGTCGTGTAGGCGCATAGAGGGACATGTGTGCGGTTACCCTCCTTGGGAAGCAGATAGGTATCACTAATTCATGGACATGATTGACATCAAGATTAAATCATGATTGTGCTCCTAATCATCGGGGTCAGGACTGCTGTTGATGCAAAGATAAAGGAGAAGGAAAAATATCATTATAACTTAATAAGTGGAACAAGAAGAACATAATCGTTCGGAGGGGAGAGCAGCAGCGAGGGACTGGAGATGCCACCGTCCTACCAGGGCAGCCAAAGGGGACAGCCAAGATCATGCTTTTGGTCACATATTTTCCACTGGCTCAAAAACCGGAGGCCAAGGGTTACCTTCCTTTCTCCTACAAAGGAAGGCAATAAGGAAGTTAAATAGAACTTTAGCAGGAATAAAAGAGGCAAGGGTCTACAGCTCAAGCTTAATTAGGAGGAGCTAGGGGGGTTCGACACTTATTGACACAGGCTTGAGTTTTAACTTTTAAGTTTTAACCTTTAACTCAGGTCCCGATGGGTCCTGTCAAAAGCAGAACACTGGGTAAGGTTCCCGGATCCGGTCTTTATGTGGGGAGGCCGTCCCCCCGTTAAACAAGATTTTTCAGCAGGTGCTGCTCCCCACCAATAGATGAAGCCTCTCCCATGGTACTCGCAGTGTCTGCTCATATCAGCACCCCCCTAGTAACCTGAAGGGAGCTTCAAAAAAGAAAAAAGAAAACAGAACAGAAAAGAAAAAAAAAGAAGAAGTCCTTCGGGACATCCGTTAAAATTGGAATGATACAGAGAAGATTAGCATAGCCGCTGCGCAAGGATGACACGCATAAATCGAGAAACGGTCGAAATTGTTAAAAAAAAAAAAAGAAAAAAAAAAAAAAGAAAAAAAAGAAAGAAGAAGAAGAAGAAGAAGCAGAAGAACAGAACAGGGAAGAGCTCTTTCTGATCCCAGTTTCCTTTTGTTGTTGTTGTTGTTGTTGTTGTTGCTGTCATTTTTGTTTGTGTTGTTGTTGTTGATGTTGATGTTGATTTCATCATGACACATGCACTTTGACTTGACAGTGAGTACAATGAACAGGAACTTTGGGACGCACTTGAAGCTGTCCAACTGAAGGAGAAGGTAAGATGAATAATTATTTATCATTTTGAATCTTAGGCGGTTAATCGTGATCGTAATCATGATGTTGACGATGATAATGATGATGAATGAAGGAAATGATCCAAATCCTGATGTTGACGATGATAACGATGATGAATGAAGGAAATGATATGGTAATGGAATGGAACTCACAAGGAACAAGAGTGAGTTACTAATCCAAAAATGAATTTGACCCGAGGTTTTTGAGCTCGAGGAGTATTCTGACGATTGAGTCTCGACTCGCGTTAGTTGCACTCCTTGTGTTAATTGACGCCTTGGACAAGCGGAAAAGAGATTGATGGATGGATGGATGGACACGTAGATCTGTGATCAGTAAATCGGTTGATAAATAGATAGGTTGATGGATGGATTCACTGATAGACAGATAGATGGATGGATGGTTCTGATTGATTGATTTGATAAACTGGTTGATTGATTGATTTGATAAACTGGTTGATTGATTGATCTGATAAACTGGTTGATTGATTGATTTGATAAACTGGTTGATTGATTGATTTGATAAACTGGTTGATTGATTGATTTGATAGATTGATCGAGGGAGGGACACACACATGGGAGGAGAGAGAGAGAGAGAGAACAAAAATTATATATATGTATATAATTTTTGTTCTTGCATTGACATGTTTATAGTTAGCTATTGTGATCTTGATTATAAAGGAAAGGCCGCTGTGATGAAATTTGGTAAACATACAGGTATGAGAGAGAGAGAGAGAGAGAGAGAGAGAGAGAGAGAGAGAGAGAGAGAGAGAACTTTGAGAAAGTTTGGATGGTGTACTGGGCAATGCATAATGAAGAAGATTAGACTAACAACTTAGTACAAGTGAGTTAGTTGATGTTTTTTTTTTTTTTTTTTTTTTTTTTTTTTTGTGTGTGTGTGTGTGTGTGTGTGTCTGTTGTTACATGATTTAGTCAACAGCTCTTACTTCAGTTATTTGCTTGCAGCTTCCTAATTGACTTTAAGAGGGAGGAGATTCAGTTGCTGCTTTTCTTGGGTCCTATTTTCTTTTCCTTTTGCTTTTGCCCCTCGTCACTTTGACCATCCCACACCTCATTACAGAGCTGTTTTTTAATCCTCCTTTCGTTTCTTTTTAAATAGTAAAATGCATCTTATTTTGTTGCAATTAATTGATTTGATGTGTTTGGCCCCGCTGCAATCCCCCTACAACTATGAAGGTTTTGTGTTCTTGGAACTTTTTTTTTTTTTTTTTTTTTTTTTGGGGGGGGGGGGGGGGGGGGGGGGGGGGGGAGGAGACGGGGGGAGGAGACGGGAGGAGGGGGGGAAGCGTTAGGTTAAGCAGAAAACAGACAGAGTTCGGTTTTGCAGGACAATCTCACATTACAAAAGTTTCAAAATCTATCAGCGGAAATATACATCGAGACATCTGGAGAGTTTAGGGTTTTGAATTTTCAACATCTTTACCACTTCAAAGTTTTGAGACTCTTCAACATCAATATGAATGCTGATACAGGGGGGGCATTCTTTTTTTTTTCTTTTTTTTTTTTTTGACAGAATGCTCTAATCTATTCATGGGGAGCAGCACGTGCTGGGAATCGGGTCCAGCATCCCCTATGAAAATACACACGTATTTACGCACCGGGGCCATATAATTCTGACTTCGTCTGAAGAAAATCCGAGAACAAATTTGAACCAAGTACTAATGGGACCACTTCAAAGAGGTTAATGAAGAGAGAGGAGCCTGCACAGCCCAGGGCCATGCCTCTCCTACTAAAACCACACCAGTATCCGCTGTTTAGTCACCTGTGTCCCCCAATCAATATCAATAGATGGGTAATCAACTCCCATACGGTCAGTATCCGCCGATTTGGACCCAGTAAACTCTTCACCCTGCTGCTGGGCGTCGGACATCAACTTCCTCTCCTAGTTCCAGGCCTTCAGCAGTTCATAATATTTAACATCTTCAGCGCTTCAAAATTTTTAATTTTCAGAATTTGCAACGTCTATCCAAAGGGTAGGCAATGAACGTTTTCCGCACCCTTAGAATCGTTGAAAGTTGAAACTTTTTTTTTTTTTTTTTTTTTTGAAACATTGCTCCAATCTATTGGTGCGGAGCCTCACCTGCTGGAAAACGGGTCCAGCATCCCTTTTGTACATTTGGAGAATGCCAGAGAAAATAAGGAAAAGTAAGGCTTTGGCTGCCAGCATTGACTGCTCCGACGAGCCCCGGAGGGTTAACTGTGCAGCTGATTTTCCGAGGGTTCTGTCCAGTTCCTTCATTGATGTGTTGTTATGCGTGCCTCCTGACTGGTGCCCAGTCTCCGGAGGGGCGCCGGAGGCCGGGAGAGCTCAGGGCACAGGGAAAATGAGGAAGGTAGCCGTTACAAAGGTTGAAACTTGAAACTCGATTTCATAGAAAAACCGTTGAAAGCGCTGAATCGTTTCCACATCGTAATTACTTTCAGTCAGCAAAGGTTCGAGGAGTTGTTGACCTCTCATGGGAGAGACCCTGGGCACCTCAATTCGACCCTTATCCACAGGCCTACCAACCTAAGGGCTTTCCTGGAGGAGGCTTTTTTGGAGACTTAGGACCAATTATCGACCCCTATTTTGGCTTTTGAGGCCCTTGGCACCTCAATTCGACCCTTGAAGCCCGGGCTCAAAAACCGTCGTGCCAACTATTCACCCCTACTTTGACTTGTGAAGGACCTAGACATCTCGACTTGACCCTTGACACCTCGTCTACCAACCTAAGGACGTTCTAGCAACTCTTAAACCACCAGTACTTGGGGCCGGCCTTAGCGTTAACGCTACGAAAATTCCGCGGCCGGCGGGCCGTGGATAAATCGAATCCACAGCCCGTGTCGCTTCGACCTCCGGCGCGCAGTGCGGCGGCGCGCAGTGCCCAAGTACTGGTGGTTTAAGAGACTGTAGATACAATGGTTGTCCCCAACTTCTCAATTTGACCCTTGAACTTGTGCTTGGTCAAAAGCTACGAGCCCCCTTAAGACTTCTTCTTCCCTTTTTAAAAAAGGGCTACGGCTTTGGGATACCATCATGCAACTGACCGGCCCTAGGCATTCAAATTGTAGTATTTTACTCACTTATTTGAAGTTAAGTTATTTCCACCGAGTTTGAACTCGGGTCTGTATTTCAAGTTTCAACAGTTCAAGGATGTGCCAACTGAGCTAGGTCAGTTGGTCCCCATCCTTTGAGTCTGATGGGGACCTACATCCAAGATAACATGGACTACCCCATTCACTTGAATAAAATATATATGGTCCTTAATTTTGACTCCTTGTTATTGTTTCTAAACTGAAAGTTGCCCCCAATACAACTATAATGACTGGGTGTTCTTTTCTGGTGAAAAGGGTAGTCCATTTTCTATTCTATTAGCCCCTGAGGGCCACTTTGGGACCCCATAGGCCTGTTTTTCATGTTCAACCTTAGACTCTCCCAACTTCAGGCGGATGAATCTATTATGTCGTATTATGGATCGGGCCCATCGGGGTGATTGCATGATTATCTGTTGACCTCTTTTTTTTTATTGTAACAGACAAGGGTGAGAAATTATCCAGTCCTTGATACCTTATCCAATTCAAGGTTATTACTTTTGAAGTTTTGAAGTGTGATTCCAGAATAGATCCAAGGTAGTATTGAATGATTCTCGATTAGGGATCGTAGTCAGGCACTAGTAGTCAGCTACACAGGTTGTGACTACCGTCTTCACCCGAATATAACGCCCGGTCATTATAGCTGTATTTGGGGCATTTTTCAGTCCAGATGCAGCGATAATAACCAGGCATTCTGTTTGGGTGAAGACGGTAGAATTGGCTCCCATAACTTTTGTCAAGAGTATATCATGTTTGGCTAATGGTGTCTACATCAACAGAGATTAAGCGTTCTATCAGCGTACCAGTCCTTTAACAGCCCTGACTCCCAGCACCAGTTTCCAGGGCCAACGGTGTATCGCACAACCCCGGCGATGACTATTATCTGTGTCTGGTCTGGCAAGCCCTTCTGTGGTCACAGCACTTCCGATGACGTTTCGGATTACAAGATAGAGCATTATAACACCCACCACCCATCCCCTAGCACCAACAGTGCAACCAGAGTAGGAGTGACAAAGAAGGCACAGTGGTAATGAAGGGGAAGAGTCCCGCTGGGGTTCTGTAGATGGTGCAGTCGAGTCCCAACCCGTCAGGGAGTTATCTCGTCATTGATGGAATGGATATGGATTTTTTTGTGATCATTTGCCATGCACTACAGCCTGATTGTATAGGTGTATCTTTTGACAAACAAAGCCTATTAAAGCTGAAGCCACAGCTCGGCGGTCGCCGGCTAGGGCGAGCGGTTGCACTTCTGTTCTATCGCCGTGGTTAGTGTTTAGCACTGTTTACCCTCCAATCAACGTCTGATCTCAAGCGGTTCAAGAGATTCAGATAGAGTTAAGGAACGGAGCCAATTTGAAAGAAAGAAAGAAAGAAAGAAAGAAAGAAAGAAAAAGATAATAAAAAAAAACAGATAGACTTAAAGAACTTAGCACACTTGTGATGATCTTTTGTTGTTCATTTGTTTATGCAGGTGATGAACTTACATGGGGGCTTGAATGCATCAATGGCAGAGTTTGGTGGCAACTTCTCTGTTGGAGAAAGGCAGATGTGCTGTCTTGCCAGGTGTCACTCTGAACCTTTGCTTTTTTGTTTGCCCCTCTCAACCTGAGCCCACCTTCTCCTGATCAGAATGATTTTGGCAAGTACCATTGGTGCTGGTATGAACATGTAATGTATTGTTATACAGAAGGTACACTGTGCCTTAGTTGAGGTTTAGGAATGGTTTTGTAGACCATGTACGAATGGCGGCATGATGTAACACGTGAATCCACCTACGAAGGATGTCATACATCAGTGATTCAAGTGGGACTTCATCATGGACATATATATATATATATAGTCAAACAGAGCTGCCTGGTAAACCGTAGGGGCAGAGAGGGAGGGAAAAGAAGAGGACAACAAACGAGGGGCTGTGACAAACTGTTTCGTCAGAGTTTCAACGACTCGTCAGGAGGCTGAACCCTCAACAGTGTGCAGAATCCCCTAACTGATTACCTTAAGTTCCCGGTTTCGGTTAAGCATCAACGACTGCCCGACAACTGATACCCTGAGGTGGGCACCAACCACTGCCCTCAATGTATAATATGTTAAATATGCCTTCCATCCTTCACTTGGAACATGCCACTAGCCTCCTTTTATTTTGTGTCTTTCTTTAAGCCGCCTCTTTTTCTAGCATGCCTTTCAAACTAACACAACGTTTGTTGTGTGCACAACCACTTCGCCTCCCTGCTGGACTCCTTCCTCGCTTTGTCCTTCTCTGTCTGAGGCTGAACCCCTTCTTCTTCCTGTCCACCCTCTTTTCCTTCTTTTCCACTGACTCTTACTTCTCTTTAACTCCTTAACCTCCCTTCTTCTCCTTACCCTCCCTGCGCTCACTGCATCCTCCCTCCCTGTCCCTTATATTCCACTGAACTTGAAACTGAAGAGAAGAACTGTTAAGCTGCTGATAATCCATACTAGATTTTTTGCCATATAGTCGCCACAGAGACAGAGACCGAGACAGAGAGACACACAGAGAGAGAGAGAGAGAGAGAGAGAGAGAGAGAGAGAGAGAGAGAGAGAGAGGACTGTATGGCAAACAGCAACAACATGAGAATAAAGATGTAAGAAGCACCATTTAGGAATATTTTATCACCATGCATTCTTTAAGAGCAACTCCTTTTCCTTCCTCCTCTTTGTTTTCCTAAACCACCAGTACGTTCCCAGCCATTTTTTCAAAGTTGCGGCTTGCATGCTGCTGCAACTTTCGATGCTCTGCCTCCGGAACAAAATGACTGGCAGCGCCACCCAAGAGGAGGCCCGCGCCGATTTGCTTTTTATTCTTCGCACACAGACCGTTTCCAGCCCCGGACAAAAGTGCCTCGGAAGTACTGGTGGTTTAATTTACGACTTTTTCTTCGTTAGGTGACACGCTCTTCCTTTTCTCTTACTTCCCAGCTCCTCCTCTTCTCCTGCTCCCCCTCCCCTACTCCATCCTCCTCCTCTTCCTTGCCCTCAATCTCGTCTTCTTTCCTCCTCCACCCCTCCTCCTCCTCTTCCTTCTCGGGCTCCTACTTGTCCTCATCCCTCTGCTTTGCCTTCCACCCATCCTGCTCCGCCTCCTCCTCCTGCCTTCTCTCCTTCCTGTCTCCACTTGCGCCGCCGCCTCCTCCTCCTCTCCTCCTCTCCTCCTCTCCTCCTCTCCTCCTCTCCTCCGCCTTCTCCACCCTCCTCCTCCTTGCCCTCATCCTTGGCCTCATCACTGCTTTTGCCCTTCGCTCCTCCTCCTCTTCCTCCTCGTCCTCTTCTTCCTTCTTTCCTCCCTCTCCTCCTCCTCCTTTCCTCCCTCTCCTCCTCCTCCTTTCCTCCACTTCCTCTTTCTTCCCCCAACTCCTCCTCTTTTACTCCATATCTTCCTTCTCCTTTCTCCTATTCCTTGTTCTCCTTCCTCCTCTTCCTTGTTCTCCCCCTCCTCCTCTTCCATTCGTCATCTTTCTCCTCCCCGCCCTCATCCCTCTCCTCCTCCTCCTCCTCCACCGCCGCCGCCTCCTGTTCCTCCTCCTTGTCCACGGTCCTTTTCCTCCTCTCCGTCATCTTGCCCATCCTGCCCTTCCTCCTCCCCTTTTCAAGTCATGGCAGTGAATTGGTGGAACCCTCCTTATACGTCAAGGATATGTCTGCACGTGGCTCCAGTTCAGCTGTTACTTCTCACGAACACCCAGGAGGTACTAGTCATACGTGCACCCCTTCTGTCAATTCAATTTGTTAGCCATCCTCTTACACAGTTTGTACCCCCATCCTTCCCAAGGCTAGGTATGCTTTCGGTGTTTGGAGCTCCATGTGGTTGGTAACTTGGTATTGAGTATTATCGACCATAGGTTCAAACAAAGCCAGACAAAAAAAAAAAGAGAGAGATGTAATGACCCGCGAAAACACAGACTGAGAACACTGCTGATTTCTGGGATTTGCCGCTGGAATGAATGCCTTGCTAAGATTCCCGCATCCTGCTGTGATTTCTAAGTCTGTCTGTGTGTGTGTGTGTGTGTGTGTGTGTGTGTGTGTGTGTGTGTGTGTGTGTGTGTGTGTGTGTGTGTGTGTGCCTGCTGCTTTGTGTGCCTGTCTGGGTGCTTGTCGGCTGAGTGTGTGTGTGACCCGCAAGGGTACTTGGTTGAAAGGCCCCGCAGGGCTGGCCTGTGGCCGTGACTTTGAGGGTTGCAGCGGGGAAAACACTCAAGTAGCGGGGGTAGGCCCGCGACACTTAGAGCAGCGGGGAAAAACACTCAAGTAGCAGGTAGGCTGGTACCACTCAAGTAGTGGTAGAAGTGTCGGGTACTGGAGGCCGAGCAGAAGAAGACAAAAGTTGGCATTTTTAGAGGCCCAGTAGGGGTAGGTTAGAGGTAGGCCGGTACCAGTCCAAGTAGCCTGAGTCTAGGGCCTGTCCGGACGATAGCAGAGCCTGCAATGATGTTTCCCTCCGAAAGGCAGGAGGTACCGGGTGCTGTGAGGCCACTCGGCCTAGGAAGTCACCGCCCAAGAGGCCAGTAGGCCGCTATATCTTCAGGAGGAGCAAGCAGCTCCTCCTCATTTGCGGTATGCAAGGATTGCGAAGCGCTGGACTTGTGAAGCGCTGCCTGGAGGAGAAGAGCAGCTGGGCGCTCAGCCTGGCTATTGTGAGCAGCCCAGCCTGACGCGGAGGGAGAAGGGGGCGAAGGAGGAGAGTGGCGAGGTACCTACCTGGCTATGGTGGACACCATCTTCATCACCTTGTTGGGCGCTACATCTGGAAGGCCCCAGTTGGGGTAGTGCCACACCAAGGAAGCTCGAGGCAGAGTCAGGCATGGCAGCTGAGTGAACAGCGGCATAGCTGCTTTGGGTTGTCCTTTGGACAGGAGTGCAGCGACATAGCTGCTTTGTGTTGTCCTTTGCACAGGAGGGCAGAGCCCTCAGTAGTCCGCCATAGCCTAGGCATGTGAGAGGAGGAAGAAGGGGGAAAGCCATAGCTATGGTGGACCTATTGTTGTGTCAGCAGTAAGAGGGAACTTCGGATATTGATTCTGGTTCACCCACTCATTGTTTATTATTATTATTGGAAGAAGAATAAGATTGGTGAAGTGAAGGAGGAGGAGGAAGGTGGAGAGAAGGGAGGATTTGTCATTGGTCTTGCTGGTGTACATCTTCTTCTTCTTCTTCTTCTTCTTCTTCTTCTTCTTCTTCTTCTTCTTCTTCTTCTTCTTTCTCTCTTCTTTGGTCCCTATCTCATTGCAAGTGCTTTCATGTCTTTCGCAATTGGGTGGCATTGTCTTTCATTGTGAAATTGCACTTTGGGAATGACCAGGATCGTAACAGAGAAAACAAGCACGACATGTTATGGTGATGGCTGCCATCGGCATGCACACACTCATAGCTTCTTTCGAGTCTTCACACTTTTTTTTCTTTTTTTTTCATTCACACGTTTCGATGTCACACTTCATTGCTGTTTGCCACACTTGCCTCTGAGCTTGTTTGTACATACTGTTCTAACCCCACACATTTGCTGCACTGTTTTCTTTGGGGGGTTGGGGGGTTGCGATGGGGGAACGGGGGGGGTTAGGGTGCTCTTATGTTCTTCGTCTTCTTCTTCCTCCTCCTCCTCTTCTTCTTCTTCTTCTTCTTCTTCTTCTTCTTCTTCTTCTACCCTTTTGGGTGGGGGATATTGTGCGTATGCTGGGTCATAAACAGGGCCATCCTACAGAAAAGCAAGATTCTTATAATGGACGAAGCAACTGCCAATGTAGACCTCGAAACGGACGCCCTGATTCAAGCTACACTCAGGTACAGTTCCTTAAAAAAAAAAGGTACAGTCCTGTGCCTGCTGGGTTCAGTTTACACCGACTCTACAAAGATTGAGATACAAGCCCCATCTGATTCCGTGGTATGCGTTATTGGTGCTTAGTATATTGCACGAACTTGGTTGTATGGGCTTGCAATGAACTCAGTCACATAAGAAGCTTGTTACAAGATGTCACAGCGCAGATTCAATATCTCCAAAAATTGTTCGTGGAACCATACTTGTCGAACATGTAGCCCAATGTCTCGTACGCAGAGAAGAAGATGAGGGGAGAGGGAGGCAAGACTTAGAGGTGGAAGAGATAGTTTCCATCATCATCGTTGAACGGAGCTCCCTCGCAAGCCCACTTCCTCTTCGGGCGTCCTCCCAGGTACTCTGACAGCAAGCAGGTTAAACAGTTTCTTCCTAAAGAACTCTGACAGCAAGCAGGTTATAACAGGCCGCCCATCCTCCAGCCACGTCAGCGGCGGCCTGGGAGTATGGCGCAGATCTCCTCCTGAAGACGTTCAGCAATCCACAAGGTCGACATGGTCGCAATCAGGTAAGCTTCCCTTCCTCAACCGTTCCACTCTCACAGTCCTGATCCTCCTCCTGCTCACCCCCACACAATCAATGTCGGAATCAGTGTGGCAATGGCCACGTCAGCATAGTCGCCCTCAAGGCTGGCGCCGCACACAGAGAATGGCGCCAGCATAAAGCTCTGGCAGTCTCGCGTCGCCGCGCCAGCGTCAAGCCAGCGTCCAGCAGCACGCACAAGACTGAATGCCATCCAGCAGGGACTGCGTCAACCTTATAGTGTTGACTCATGTTGACCAGCCTCTGGTCTCTCAGGTACGATGGCCCAGATCGTTTGTCAGCCAATGGCCTGGATTTCATACAGTTGCAGATTCCAACGTGTCCCACTTTGACTTGATTCCTTCCGGATACCTGCAGACAACCAGAGGTGTGTATCTGATCTACGTCCGAGGCTGGAATCAGGTTGACTTTGACTCATGGGCCTGATTTCCCTAGTCGAGGTTGATTGTTGACTTTCCCAAGATCAACTGCCTCACGTTGGGCCTCTGAAGGCCAGTTTGGCCTTGCCTTGGGTACCTCACAGCATCAGGCTTTCCTTCAGGCATTTCCACGACTTGGGGCATGACTTGTGACCCCTGTTTCGGGCCTTCGACCAAAAGTGACGATCGTCAGCTCACGACTGATGCAGATTTGAGCTGAGTTATTATAGGCTGGGCAGGTTGGCATTTTTGTTTTCGCTTAAACCACCAGTACTTCCTGAAGTCGTGCCCCTTAACAAGCCACAATTTTAGGAAACGTACGGGCCACTGGAGGAGCACCCAAATTCATCCGACTAGAAACGTTTCTACCCTATTTTTTCCCGCTGCCCATAGCTGGGCCAAGTACTGGTGGTTTAAACTTGACTGTTGTCTTCCAAAAAAACAAGTGGATGCCTGGCCCAGATGCGGCGGAGGACATGAAAATAATAATAATAATAATAATGGCCAGCGCCAGACACAGTTCGGCCCTTCCACGGCCAGGCAGCACCATATGGGTGTGGCCTAACGTGCGGGTCTTCCTTCCATCCGGGAAGAGCTGCTATGCACTTGCATTCGAACATGTCCGAGGATGCAGCAGGATCGATGCACAAGGATACTGTTGCATCTGGATTTGAGCTTCCACCTCCATTTCAACGGGGGTAGAAACTGACCCCCCAAAAAAGAAGAAACAGGAGAGAAACGACACCAGGCAGGGCTTGTAGGAGTTTGAGCTTCGGTCTGTTTCAAGAGCTTGTGAGCATAAGAAAACGAAATGACACCACCGTAAGCTGCTATGAGCTCATAAGTCTAAGACAACGACAAAAGAGAGAGGGGGGGGGGGAACGGAACGACACCAACGCGGGCTCCTATGTACTTGAATTGGAACATGCAGCGCTTCTTGAAGCGTCTGGATCCAAACTTCAGTCTGATGTGGAAAATGCCGGGAAAAGAAAATGGCCAAACAGACTCTAACGCCGGGAAAAGAAAATGGTCTAACAGACTCTAACTCAAACAGGCGACCAGTTCCGTCCTGGCCTACACCCCCCCCCAGTGCGGGTTCGGGTTTCAGCTAGTCCATGACGAGAGGACCACTGTTTGCTTTAATAGTGGCAGTGTAGATGGATATAAAAAACAAGAACAAAAAAGACCAGGAGCATCAGTGGGCTTAGCTTTGTATATTATGAAACCCAGGAAATGGCTATGGTGTTCCTCACAAAAAGGTAGGTGGTCCCATTGATGGGTGAGGCTCACCAGCAAAGCCCGGAAACAGGACCACTTATTGCTGTGAAAACCCTAATGTGAGGAACAAGCCCTCAAGGGGCCCTATCAGAACATCACATGTTTTGGGCAGAGGCCCCCAGCAAGCCGAGTGCCCGCCCTAAGTGAAGCCGGGCCTGAATATTCGTCAGAGGCCAAAATTTGACATTTCCATATGTGGGTATTCAGGCTCTCGCAGCACGCCAGTTGGTTGGGTAGACGTGTGAGCCTCACTAAGCTGCGTCATACAGTTGGCCCAGGCCTTGACAGTTGCACCTGGGCACATACACACAAAGCAGGGCTGACACATTTGGAAAAGCAGTACTGCCTACACACCTGCCTGGGAGCCCTGCACAGATGCAGCAAACAGCCCAAGTCCGGAGACTCAGGCCGTGCCCAACTGAAAAGGGCCCAGACCCTCAACTGTAGTCTCGGGCCTGGGCGCAGGGTCTGAGGCCCAACCGGAAGCTACTGGAAGCTTCCAGCCGGGCCACACGCAGCATCCAGGAGGCCGCCAGTTCCATAAAAGAAGTGAGGCAGCCCAGGCCAGGCATTCTGGCCAGTGCTGGCAATGCAGAAGTGCTTCTGCGCTCTCGCTTGATGCTGCGCTGCTGCCAAAGGCGCTGATGGGGCGCGTAGTGGTGAGGAGGGGCGCTGCAGGGCAGCGGGGCGCAGGCAGCCATGGCCAGGCTGCTGGGCGCCAGGTAGTACAGCGAGCGATCTGGTGGTTTTCAGGGAAGGAGGCGAGTGTGAGGTAATCAAGGTCTGACTGAGGGTGACGAGATACGTACCTGGTGCATGAAGAGAGGTCGGCTATGGAGTTGACAATCATGTACATTGGTCTTCGAGAGTCGAAGTGAGCCGGTTGCATGAACTCAGCTGTAGGTAGGATAGTCGGGTAGAGTAGGCTGGGCGCTGGGCGCCAGACAGAGAGTAGCGACTTTGGATTCTGTGTTGGTGTAGCCTACGGGCTTGGACATTGACTCATTACTTCATTGTATTGCTCTATATGGATGGTTTTCTCGGTGCATTTGTACTCTCTGCTTGGACAGGACTACCTGGACATCTGTGTGATTTCGCAACTTGGTTTTTTGTATATCGTTCACACTCATATTCCTTGCACTAATAACACACAGTAACAAAATCAATACTAAAACCACCACAGGATAGAAAGCACAGCTGGCAATGGTTTTTGCGCTTTAGATTTCGTGGTTTTCGTGGGGTAAGAATAGCAGGTGTAGCAGGTGTAACTGGGGTCATACTCCGAATTCAATCTGTATATGGGACGCTGGGCCTGTTTTCCAGCAGGTGATGCTCCCCACCAATAGATGGAGCCTCTCCCCAGGTGCTAGGGGTGTCTGCTCTTATCAGCACCACTAACACTGGCGGGGGGGGGTTTAAAAAAAAAAAAAAAAAAAAAAAAAAAAAAAAAAAAAAACTGGGGTTACTCTGTTTTTGTTTTTTGGTGACTCATTTCTCGTGGCCGGGGATGGATTTGGCCGCCAGAGTGCCTTGTCCAGCCCCGCTTGGCTGTGATGCGCATGTGAGGGACGCCGGGCCCGTTTCCCGGCTATCAATGATATGATCCCTTTTTCTTGGGGTGGGGGGGGGAGGGGAAGGAGAGAACAGAAAATTTAAGTGACACATAGAACATCCACCGTCCTACCGGCGAAACTACCTTACCTCCCGTACGGCAGTGTCACACCAAATGGTGGGCCCCATGACCAAACCCACCACCCGTGATTCAAGGCAGATCGCCCTCTATACTGCAATCACCCCCCACAAGGACGCTCACCGCCCACCATGTTTCTCTGAAGCCATGTTGATGCCTTCACAGAGTGATGCTCCACCTGCACAGGAGGGTCACAGCCGAAGGCAGACCCTATATAGCCCAACCCAACGCCCACTATTCAACGTAGAACGCAACCCCAATCCGCTATCGCTCGTTACAAGGACGCTCACCGGTCACTATCATGATGCCTTCACAGAACAATGCTCCCCCAAGCTTCACAACTCACCATGGCAAACAGTGTACGCAAAACACTGGGTAAACCTATTCGCCAACTTCACAAAGTCAGCATCTATCTTATGAAACGGGCAATGCAGCGACAGACTAAAGAAAAAGACACGCACCCTTTTGTGTCAACCAACCACAGTGACCTCCGCCACGCCGATTCCAATGGCAAATGATCTCTGGCGGACCAACCAAAAAAGGTTATCGCCAGTGGAGCTACGTGGCTATGGATTTCTCCGCCTGATTTTGTATCAGCTACCATTGTTATATCCTACGAGCTGGATGCGTATTGGGCGCTTATCTTTCACTTTCTTCTCTTTCCTTCTCTTCATCTTCGTCTATTTCCGTTGTTAGTACTATTACTTGGTTTGGATGTTGCGGTGAGATTCTTTCCCTACTACTCTCCTGCGCTTCAAGCTGATGCCCACACAATGAAGACTGTGTCCAGGTTCTATATCTATGACCAGGAGCATACGCCCTGATCAGGCCCCATATTGGTTTAAGAGCAGCACGCGATGTACAGCAAAGCAACTAGGCAGCAAGGCAAGCAGGCAAGGAGCAGGGCAGCACAATGAGCAGCAAGGCAACAAGGCAGACCGCAAGGCAAGCCAAAGTGCCACACTATGAGCAGCAGGAGGGCAAGGCAGCGAGGCAAGCAACAGGGGCCAGCGCATTGAGCAGCTCAAAGCAACAAGGCAGCAGTGCAAGGCAAGGGGGTGGGCAGGTGGATGGGAGGGCAGGCGCAACACGATACAGTATGACCCTCAACACAATGACCCCGCAAGGCACTCAACAGGCACGAGGGTGGGCGCGGGGAGGGACACCAACACGGCAAGGCATGCAGCAACACACAGACCCGTGGATGCATGGCTGTGGGAAGAACGGCTGTGGAAGAAGGAGACGAGGAAATTCTGACGAGGCAACAAAGGCAGGCTGTTCAATCAGAGTCTTCAAGCGGCATTGGGCTGGTGACATCTGCTACCTGTTGTAGCATAGTAAACTAGTTTGCGAGAGTAGTCTGGGCGGATAGCTAGCCGCCGAAAAGGATCGACATTGTTGTTGCATTGGTGATGAGAGATGTTTGGAAGGGCTTTCATTATCGAGTGACTTCAGTGCTTTGCTCGTTCCTATTTGGTGTGATCTCACTTCACATTCTGCTTTCAGTTTCGGCTCTCAATGATATCTGGTCGTCCGTAAGATGTTGCAATATGGTTTATTGCTGCCCGCAGTCCTTCTTTCCTTGCACACACGTCGCCATTGATAAACAGGTAACGAGTTCAAATCCTTCAGCATGCAATCTAGTGCATGCAATTGAGACAACGAGGAACTAATTGAGCAAGTGAAAATTTGGGATTTGGGATTTGGGATTTGGGATTTTGGGACTTTCATTGTGATTGAAGCAGGGCAAGATTCAAGAACAGCACTGTTTTGATCATTGCGCACAGGATGGATACGATCATCGACACCGACAAGATCATCGTTCTGCACTATGGAAGACTCGAAGAACTCGGATCGCCCGAGGTGAGTGGAGTGGGTTGGGTTGGCGGAATGATGGCTACATTCCAAAAATGCTCAGCTTGTTTCAACCAGGACTTCAAGCTGGATGGAAGGAATGAAAAAATAATAATAAAATAAATAAATAAATAAATAAAAGTTGGGTGGAATCAGAAGGGGAAGGGGCTGAGGGGATTGGCAGTTGTTTCCTTTCTTTTTTTTTGTGTGTGTTGCTTGGTTACACAGGAGTTTCTGGACACCCACTGCTTGTGGTGTGGACTTTGACATTTCTGCCACACCCACCTTCCTTCGATGGCTACGGTGACTACCCTTTTGGGCAAGTCGAATGCCCAGTCATTATAGCTGTATCTGGGCCCCCTTTTGGTGTAGATACAGCAATAATGATTGGCATTCTGTTCAGGTGAAGACATTAGGATGTTACCATACACCCCAAGCTTTCCCCACCGTAAACCTCCATTTCACCCTGGGGGGGGGGGGGGGGGGGGGGGGAGGGGGTTAAAAAATAGCCACAAGTATGGAAACACAGTTCCCGGACTACACTTGCGTACGTCAATTTCCCCTAATGTTATAGGGCCTTGCCACACCGCTGACGAAACGAAAAATGTACAAGCGCATCTTCCCGCAGAGAATGGTAAGATGCATCCGTTACTATGAATGGCAACGGATGCATCTCACCACTTTCTGGGGAAGATGCAATCCTCATTTTTTTGTTTCGACAGTAGTGTGGCGAGGTCCATAGTCTTTGCCACTGTGTTCAGTCAAAATTCAACATGGTTTAAAAACTTGAAAAAAAAAAAAAACTTGAAAAAAAAAAAAAAAAAAAAAAAGGAAACAACATGGAACAATGAAATTTCCCAGTCCCAGTGCAAGTCCCAGTCCAAGTCCCAGTCCAAGTCCAAGTCCCAGTCCCAGTCCAAGTCCCACAAAGGAATGGGACTTATGGGACCACGTGTGCAAATGGGACTCGTGTCAATGCCTGGCCTCCCATTGACTGTCCACTGCCAGGTCACTGCCGTCAGTAGTATGTCAAGAAATGGTGATGAATCTTCACTCGATTTGAGGCTTCAAAAATCATACGACCTTCTTCTCTTGAATAGAGAGAGTGGACAGTAATTATAGTTGTAAGAGGACTACCTTCCAGTCTACATACAGCGATGATGACTGGGTGTTCTATTCGGGCGGCGCCGGTATGTAGTCGGAACAACGAAGCAGGAGACCTACAACTTTGGGGCATGGGACGGCGGAAGGGGGGGCATGCTGCCGGCCCTCAAGCTGTAGTCTATGCACAGATCATGAACGCATTCTCAAAAATAAAAATAGTCTCTGCTCAGATCATGCAGGCATTCTCAAAACTAAAAAAGGAAAAGAAAAAAGGAAAAGAAAAAGTCATCTTTTGGGGGTTGACGTATGGCAAAACCCACCTTTTGTCGGATTGCAGGAGTTGCTGGAGAGAGAGGATGGAATGTTCACGAGCATGGTAAGAAGAACGGGATCGGCGGGGGAGGCACATCTACGACAGCTTGCAAAGCAGCATGCATTGGCAAGGAGAGGTCATCGTCCTCACGCATGGTCATCTTCGTCTAAGGACATATTAACGTCTTCTTCTTTGAAGGGCGTACTTTCTTCCCATGTAACGGCCCCACCGACCGACAGAAATGACCGATAACAGCTGCTAATGCACCAGAGTTCGACCCCCAGTTCGCAACAGCCGAGATGAATTATTCTATATCGTGTGCAGCAGGCAGGTAGGTACATCAAAAGTGTAGTCTTTTCCCATCGAGTACGAACAAGACGGCAGCAAGCAGGGCGGTACATCAAAAGTGCAGCCTTTTTCCACCGAGTTCGAATCGAACCGGCAGCGGGCAAGCACAGCCTTTTTCCCATCTAGCATGAATCAACCTGGCAGCAGGCGGGCTGGTGCATCAAAAGCGTGGCCTTTACCCATCGAGTACGAATTGAACCAGCGGTCAGGCAGATACACCAAAGATGCGGCCTTTCCCCATCAACTACGAACGCAGCCCATTGCAAGCAGGACGATCCATCAAAGGCGCGACCTTTTCCCATCAAGTAAGAATCGAACTAGCTGCAAGCAGGCCGCTACATAAAAGGCGCGGCCTTTCCCCATCCGAGTACGAATTGAACCAGCGGTCTGGCAGATACACGAAAGATGCGGCCTTTCCCCATCAACTACGAACGGCAGCCCATTGCAAGCAGGATGATACATCAAAGGCGCGACCTTTTCCCGTCAAATAAGAATCGAACTAGCTGCAAGCAGGCCGCTACATAAAAGGTGCGGCCTTTCCCCATCGAGTACGTATGCAAGCCGCCACATCTTTCACTTTGCTGGGGCTCGAACTGGTGGCTCCACAGGGCTACTTACGTTATGCATACGATGTGGGAAAAACAATAACTTTTCAGTTAAAATAGGACAATGAAAGAGGAACACATAGACTTTGACTTTGATTGACTGAACGTAAAGCTTAAGAGATACTCATAAGATAGATCCCCGTATGGCATTCTTTATTCGAGGCGGACAATGATTGTTGTGCGCCGTGACTTGAAGTTACTATGACTGTCAGGTGCTCACTTCTCACAGTGTCTTCTTTTTTTTTTTTTTTTTTTTTTTGGGTGCTCACTATGTCATTACACATAGATCACGCAAGTTCGCTGTTAACATATTGTCACACATAGTCCCCCTTTGGCACATTTTGCCACAATTTGTCCCACATTGTCACACAGGGGTGCACAAACACGGCTGTTGAAAATCTCTCTTTCTAGACAACAAAAATGCAACTGTCATTATGTAGTCATTGTAGACATTGTTCTTTTTTTGTTTTCTAAAGCAAAGAGAATTTTATTTTAGGCTGGGCACCAGGCCCAGCGTCCCTTACACCTTTCGCTGCAGTCCATGGGATGGGCGAGCCACTCCGGCCAAGCCTAACCCTGACCATAGTCCAACTGCACAGGTCCCCATGTCTCTTGCCTTAGACCAATCCCCAACCACCACCCCACAAACAACTCCGTAGACAAGTATCTGACCACCAAAAAAACTTCTAGAAAGTTTGAAAAAACTTTTAAACACTTAAAGAAAAACTTAAAACAAATTAAAAAAAACTTAAAAGAAGTAAAAAAATCTTAAAAAAAGTTAAAAAAGCAGAACAACTATAAGCAATCAGCAAACACGCTACAGGATTTAAGGATTACAAAAAAAAAAAAAAAACAGTGTGTCGAAAACAAACAGCTCCAAATATCCTACCTATCAAGAAGCACAAGCCACAATGCAGAAAACACACACACACACAAAAAAAAAAAAAAAGATTACTATACCAGAATGTGTGCAGACTTCTATTACTCTGGCAACGAAGCGATGTCACAAATAAATAATGTACCTTGGTTAATAGTGGTTATCACATTGTCACGCATTGCCACAAATTGTTGCACACTGTCCCCCATTGCCACAAATTGTCCCACACTGTCACACACTGCTGCGCAGGGATTTCTCCAGCCCATCGTCATGCGCTGCGCCCTTTAGGAACTCTTGTTGCTACCCTCCACATGGCTGGCGGCACCAGGCACACCAAAAAAAAACAGAGAAAAAAAAAAGCACACACCTCTGCCACCTCATTTTTCATCGGGCCGCAGAACAAATGCACGTCGGGGAAAAAAAAAAAAAAGGCGCGCAATTACTGGTGCCTTAAGAGTATGCAACAGACTCCTGACTACAATGCAGACAACTACTGCCTTTGCGACTTCCACGTCCTTTGTTCGTTCTTTCGCTGATCGCTTGACATTCACAGGATTCCAGGAGACCTTTCATGCTTATCCGCCACCATCCCGCACAATCGTGGGTTATCATGACATTGATTTTTTTTTTTATTATTTTTTTTATTTTTTTGTGGTTGACAACATAAAAAGTCCCATTCGACATACCTAGAAAAATCAGCGACTCTAGAACTCTTCCCAGAGGATTGCTATTCAGTCCTTCGCTATTACAAAAGCACCGCTGCTAACCAATTCCGCTGCTTGCCCTTTCAGGGATTGGACCTACATGCCACAAATAGTTGGCCTTCCCTCAACATACTCTAAAAAGGGCCACCCATTCCCATTCCCATTCCCATTTGTTCTTTGAATGAGCATGAGAGCACTTGCGCGACTGATTCGTTTACTACATCAACGCCACCAATGGACGGGTCCTTCGGGACATCCGTTAAAATTGGAACGATACAGAGAAGGGTATAATTAGCATGGCCCCTGCGCTTTCAAGGATGACACGCATAAATCGAGAAATAGTC